GAGCATAAAGATAATGAAACAGTGCTCTCGGAATGAGACCCGCTAGGAAGAATTTAGAAGCTCGACAACATTCCTGGTAGGAAATCTGGAAAGCGGAGGGCCTCAGGAAGAAGGAAACGAGATCTGATGGTTTTCGCCCAAGGAAAACACAGATACACCCATTCTGAGCAGGCGTGGGAGGCAGCAGTCCTACATTACACTGTAGCTTCAGTTCAGAATCTGGGACTCCAAGCAAGGTTCTTCTCTCTGAGTCCCAGTTTCCTCGTGTTCAGGATGGAGGTAATAACATGTCAATCACCAGACTGAGGCAATGCATGCAAATTGTCTAACATATAGATGTTCAATCAACAGGAACTGTTGCCATCACATAAAAAGCACGAAAAAGTGCCCAATTACTAGTAAAAGACAAGTGAGAGACTATAAAATTGCAATGCCGCCCTAGCCGGTTTGGTTCAGTGGATAGACCGTCGGCCTGTAGACCGTCGGCCTGCAGACTGAAGGGTCCCAGGTTCGATTCCAGCCAAGGGCACATACCCGGGTTGTGGGCTCGATCCCCAGTGTGGGGCGTGCAGGAGGCAGCCAATGATTCTCTCTCATCATTGATGTTTCTATCTCTCTCTCCCTCTCCCTTCCTCTCTGAAATCAATAAAAATATATATTTTTAAAAAATTGCAGTGCCTTAGGGGAAAGCTGAGTCTGATCTGTCTTGCATGTCTATATGCTACATTTTAATCCAAATAACAGGACGGCCTTTGTAGTGCTGTTTTCTAGAAATCACATCGCACCTTCACAATGAGGTATTGCTTAGGTCCAAGAGCATGACCAGTCACTGATTATCCACTTGAGATGAATCCATTCCATACCCTGCCTACAGAGATTGAAATTTTAGGCTGGCCAGGAATCTAGTCAAGAAATTTTTATTTCTTTTTATTGTTTTAAGAGAAGAAGGGAGAGGGAGCGAGAGAGACAGAAACATCAATGATGAGAAAGAATCATCGATAGGCTGCCTCCTGCACGCCCCACACCGGGGATCAAGCCCACAACCCGGGCATGTGCCCTGACTGGAAATTGAACCGTGACCTCCTGGTTCATCGGTTGACGCTCAACCAGAGTCACGCCGGCCAGGCAATGCAAGAAACTTTTAATGAATGTCTTTGTACCAGACACCTTGATAGATCTTTGTAGGGTCTCTTCACCACCCAGAAGCAAAAGGAAAAGTTCCAGTCTGTCATGGACTAGATCAGGGGTGGGCATACTTTTTGACTCGAGGGCCACAATGGGTTCTTAAACTGGACCGGAGGGCCGGATCAAAAGCATGGATGGAGTGTTTGTGTGAACTAATACAAATTCAAAGTAAACATCATTACATAAAAGGGTACGGTCTTTTTTTTTTTTTAGTTTTATTCATTTCAAACGGGCCGGATCTGGCCCGCGGCTGGACTAGATGCTTTAGATACACAACTGCAATGAATCCTCAGAGGTCTGCAAGACTTTAATAAAAAAAAGGAAAGCGATCAATTCTTTCACTCATTCCTTCATTTACTCATGTTTTCCAAGGAAACATCCTTTGGCACCGAATAGGCATGAAGGAAGGGGCAGGAAGTCATTGCCCTCAAGGGGCTTCCGTTTGAAGGGAGAAAGATAAACATCCAGCTATCACCAGGCAACCCAAAGATGCGAGTCACCGGAGGACACACGTCCCATGAGGATGAGAAGGATCTGACTGCGAGGTCCGGGAAGACTTCTACTGGGTGCTCTGTCAGCGGGGCTGGATTTGGAGAAAATCATCGGGAACAGGGCAGGGAAGCCCAACACGCATGAAGTTCAACCTGACGGAGACACACGTGGAAGAACGTCTGTCACATCTGGGAATGGGGAGCTGTCTGCTGCAGGAATGAGCCGGTAATATGGGGGGGGGGGCAGGTGCCAATGGAGGATAGAGGTAGGTGGGCACTGAATTGTGAAGAGTTGTGAATGTCACACACACACATACATTTAACAATACAGTGTATGTACTAAGAGACCTGTTGGGGATGGGGGGGGAGGAGGATTAGGATCTTAGCTCAAAGGCAAGGGCATTAACAGGGTTCTGCTTCAGGCCTCTCAATAACACCGCCACTCCTCCCCCCAACCCCACCCCTGCATCAGCAGGCAATATCCTTCTTGCCTTAATGTGTCATCTTTAACTAACGTTTACCCTTTCTCCTTCCCTTAACTGGACACTAGGAATTAAGCAAACATGAAGAGTCTGAGGAAAGGCGAAGAGCTTTGGGGGAGGGGAGGACATGGGATGCCAGGCCGGCAGCCTGAGTCACAGGCCTTCAGCGAGGCCACCTCACCTCTCCAACTCAGCTGCAGCAGCTGGGTTTTCTGATTTGCTTCCACTCACCCCCAGAATCCCAGTCGTTTTTAAAGACCATCTCTCTACGTTTCCCTTCCTGTAAAGTAAAGGCTATATGGCTTCCCATTCATGACCTTGGTTCACTCAGGCTCCTCCCGCACCATCTTCTCTTTGGGGCCCAACTGAACATCAGACATCAAATTTCCCCCAACAACCACCTCCATCTCAGAGAGAGAGAGAGAGAGAGAGATCGCCAAAATGTTCCAACTAGAAAGCAAGCCCTGCATTCAGAGCCTTTGCACTTATTTCACAATCCTCATGCCCTCGCTGTTTCCCCACTCCACTCTCATCTCACTTCCCCGGCTTCATCTCCTAGGGAAGCTCGTGAGAGATGTTGTTCCCTACAAGCCATTCACACAGGGTGCAGGGCTCTGGGCCCCGCCATCCGGACCTCGAGCCTCGGGTCCTCCTGCGCCCCCACCTAAGTGGCACTGTTCGAGGTGCCTGTGGCTCCTACACTGTGTCCCACATTAACCACTCCCGCGTGCTGGCTTGTTAAGAGACTTGTGAACACCTGGCGCAGCAGCAGAAACGCAGGGAGGGAGGGAGGAGAGGCGGAGGCCCCTCGGCCAGTGAGCCGAGTGACAGCAGGAACCTGGGACCGCTGCACAGTGGCCCACTCATCCATCACAGCTCCTCCAAAACGATTTAACTTTCTAGCCATGACCCACCCGCCTTCACCACACCTGGGTCCCACCGCGGAGGAGGACGCCATAGTGAATGCAAACGATTCCCGCCGCCTTGCAGGTGAAGGGCCAACAGGCCGCTATGGGGGCCAGGCTGCATCACCAAATTTCCAAATGAGTCCAGCCCCGCGCTCGCGTTGCAAGGGGTGGGTGATTCACTGGGGCGCCGGGGTGGGTGGGGGGGTGGGGTTAAAAAAAAAAA